CAAATCAAGAAGTCTAAATTAAGGAATTCGAGCTATCCATTGGGTGATTATTTTACAACCCCCGCTCCAAATAATTAAGAAGACTCTTTAATAATTCGCGGTTCCCTCCCTGTATCCTTCACAAGATTTCATGGTTTTGAGTGTTTAAATTAACAAAATGGTACATTTGAATAGGTTTACTTTTCAAATCCCTTAGATTAATATTATGCCCCCTGAGGGTATTGTGGGAAGTTTTAAAGGAACTTTTGAGATTTATTTCAAACTTCGCATTCTTCCACCCTAACCTGCATATATTCAATCAGTGCGCCTGGCCATATGCATTCCTGAAATTGAATTGGTATACTATCCTAATAAATATCTTTTAATTATCCACATAAACAGTTCATATAATCGTTATTTGATAAATTAGATCAGATAATCAAAGTTAACCCATCAATAAAATGAATAAATTGTATAACCGATAGGCTGGGATGACAGCTGCATTCGAGGCTTCTTCCCTGAAACCGGTCGCTTGATGTACACTGTAAATGAAGCTCATAAGAAAGGAGTAACTGCTGTAGCAGCTATGGACGGCGGCTCCAGAATCATTTCAGGAGGTGGTGAGGGACAAGTTCGAGTCTGGGAGGTAAAAGAGATACCCGCAACATGTAAGAAGAAGATTGCTGCCCATCGGCATCGATCACACCGATGCCAGGGAGATCGACGAGGAAATGAGGAGGATGATAGGCCCAAATTTTTTGTCGATCTTTTAGCAACGCTAAAGGAACACACGAATGCGGTCTCTTGTATTCAGATTAATAAAAATGGTACAAAATGCGTTTCCTCGTCAGCTGATGGAACTTGTATTATATGGAATTTGGTGCAAGTTAACCGAGTCATATATATATATATATATATATATACCTGACTTCTTGAAACTCTTTTAATCCAATGTTCTACTCTTCTCCTTTAGAGACTTTACTCGTATGCAGGTCATGTTCGCCAGCACTCTATTTAGAGCAGTATGTTTCAACG